TTTAATCACTTTATGGGTTATGTGTGATTCTCTCCATATCAATTCAACTTGTTGTAGATTTATCCATATATTGCACTATAATGGTCTTGTACTTGTTTATATTACTCTTATCAATAAAATACTATCACTTAAATAAATAAATAAATAAAAGACCACTGAGGTGCTAGGGAGTGGAGATTCGACCTTCTTTAATTACTAATTAATTCTCTCAAAATCATCCTAAACATACAAGTGCTATATCATTGTGTCCATATGCAAGTTAACTTTAATATATCAAGTTGGCTTAAATAATCCAAGAACCTATAAAAGGGAACTACATAAACTAATATTTAATTAATAAGATACATATGTCATTTAGGCATATTGGGATGAAGCACGAAAATATTGGTCAAGAGATTACACCATGTATATATAGGGCTAGTGGAACACCACCTTGTAAATTAGATACCACCTTGAAAATTTAAACAATATAATGTATGTGGAAGTTTTCAAAGGGATGACAAACCCACGATGGCTAAAACAATCCAAAGCCTAGCTTAGTTGTGGGCTTGAGTTGGCTTTGTTTGGGTGTGAATTGTTTGGTGTTGTGCTCTTTCTAGAGGAGAGTTTGCGTTTGTGGTTTACGTTGTGGGTGATATGCTTGGCTTTTCCAAACATGCGTTTATGCCAAACTGTCTTTGGCCTTGTGCAACTTTAATTGGAGGTATACTGTATGAGTTTGATGTTGCCGAATGATCCCTATGTATTGGTTGTAACCCCTTTATGGGTGGTGGTTGTTGTTATTTGGACCACATTTACTGACCGCATTGGTGACCAGCTCATTTAAATTCTCACGTGAGACTCACACTTGCCAACTGTAGATTTTCTATCCTAACTACTTTTGTCCATTAGTGCCCCAATCATTAGCCACTAGGTGCACTGATTTCTGACCTAGTTTTTTGGGGTGAAAAATTAGCCTTGGCTCTAGTAGCCGTCATTTTGTATAGAGAGAAATTGGGAGCTTCTTCATCTTTGCTTTTCTTGAAATCTCTTTGGTGTTTTGAAATATGCATCTAGAATACATACATTACATAAGTTATATCTATGAAAGATTCTAGGATTAATTTCTTCAAGAATAGTTTATTAAAGAAATCGATCTTTTGCTTATTGAATCTATAGTTCATTTATCTATTACTATCCAGAGCTGAGTTGCGGTGTCATGAGGTGAAGAAGTTGATGGACTAGTTGTCACTTTCGGGAAGGACAAGCTTATAACTCAACTAAGTTTGGAGAAGAAGATTGCACTTGGAGGTAGTGCTCATTTCCTAAATAAACCTTAGGATTGTTTGAACTTGTGATTATTTTTTATGTAAGAATCTTCTTGGCTTAGTGGATTACCTGGTCGGAGTGATGACCCCCAGTTTTTCCTAATTGTGGGTTTTTGGGTGAACATGTTTGGTGTGATGTTTGTGATTTTATGACTAGTCATATTGTATTTATTATCTTTGAAATGCGTTCACACACTTATCACTCTAGTTGTTGCTAGCACATGAGATGCCTAGATTGACATATCCTTCTGAGTGCTTAGGTTGTCACTTAGTCATCTTCTATATTTGCATGGGTTTGACAATTGATTGATGAATGAATGTGTATTTTTGTTTGTGTTCTTACATTTGTGACTAGTTATTGACTAGTCATACTTTTGCGAAGATTACTTTGCCTGTCCAATCTTTGTTTAACTTGGTTTGAGATTATTTTCAGGTTTTTTCACAGATAGGCCCATTTTAGTATGACATATTATACAAAAGCCCATATATGGCCTATTTGGAAGGAGAAAAAAAAACCAGAATTGCCACTTGTCATTTTTTAATTGGTTCTTATAAAATTTTAATACGCTAAAATAGATTTTTAAAATTATATATTTTTATTTTTACCCCTTCCATCTAAGTATGAATTTCATATTTATGAGGGTGCCTTTGGTGTACATATAAAGTCAATTTTGGTGGTTCGCAAGTCTATTCATATTAGGTCATTTTTTATTAAAACAAAATGGTACGTAAGACAAAAACTATCACAAATGTTGTGAAATCTGACTATGCGGAATAGTTAGTTTTGGTGAAGCAGTAATGCTATTTATTTGGCATTACTGTGCTGTGAAAATAATCACTGTCAAATTTGCTGTGAGAGAAATCAGTTGTAAGAGAAAGCAGTTTGGCGTTTGACAAACTTTTTGTTACAAGTGTTGTTGATACTGATTCCTGCATAATCAGAAAATGATTGCCACATAATCATTAAGCCTAGCATCTCTTCGAAACTGATTCCTGCATAACCAAAAAATGAAAGCATATCATTAGTTGATTTCCCTTATAGCTTTCAGTCACAACAATTTTTAACAATAAGTGATTTTCTCATAGTTTACCAAACGGATTGGGCTTCCTAAATTTTTTTAAAAAATCACTTATCACCCCTAATAAGCAATGTCAAACAGACACTTAGAGACACTAAAATGGCGAGATGTATTTAAATTGTATTTGTAATTTTTTTCATAATTATTTTAGGTTAATTAATATTTATTTTCAACTTTCCACTTTTTTTCCAACTCCATCACAACCATCACGCTGAACCATCACTCATCACTGAGGGGACAAAGAACTGCATAAAGAAGGAACAAAGACTCTATGGCGGATTATGCATATGCAATTTTCCTGCAAGCAATCAAAGTCAGTGTCCTCAATTAAAATTATAATTGACGGGGTTCAAATGGTTGGTACCAAGCAGCTATCAAAGTTTGACTAGTCTAAATTTGTAGGGTTCCCTCCCTAGGCTTGAATCCGATTGCTTGAGGTGTTTTCAATTCGGAAACGACAACCAATTATATTCCAACTAGAAAAAACTTGTTTAATTGCTAATTACATTTCTGAAAACCATCCTACAACAGGTGCAAGTTAAGTTTAATATATCAAGTTGATATAAACCACAAAAATATTAATTGGTCATGAAATTACATCATATATAGTGCTAGTGGGACCCTTGTATATTATACACCACCTTGAAAATTTGAAATATATTAAGGGGTTATCTTATGGCTGACTTAAAAACCCATGACTAAAACGATCCAAACCATATCTTCTCTTACAGCCTCTTATAACCAGGCCTTATCAACGAAGACAAGAGGCATGTTAAATATGGTATGAGACTTTTGAGAGCTTGAGGTACATGCATGTTGTTGTCCCATATGATGAATGAATGACGGTAATAATATTATTATTTCACTATAATATTTTATCGAAAAGAAGTAAATTTTATTAACTGAAAACATTAGTTACAATATATAAGTTCTTTCCAAGTGACGAAGGGTTTTAGTTTCAACGAGTGAAAGACAATCATGAGAGAGAAATGAAGGCGAAAAAGAAGCTAATGGAAGAAAAAGATTATTATCAAAGCATGCAAATTAGGTCGTACTTTTTGCTCACCAACTCTAATGGAAGAAAAAGAAGCTAGCAAGTCATAGACAGCTGTTGGCCTATAGATGAAGATTATGTGTTGGACGGTGAACTTGGAAGTTTTGTAAGGGCTGGTCTTGTACGTAGTTTTTGAACTGAAATATTTGTCGGGAGAGTAGGGACGCCTTTTCTTCCATTCTATGGACACACACGGTTTGAACTTTAATAAGAAAATGAGACCCACTCTTCGATTTTTCTATACGACATAGAGATGTTTGAAACTTTGAAGCCTCTTGCATGAATATAAGCTCAAGTCTCCATTAAAATGCTGAACTTAGAAATTTCTCACCTTCCATGGAGGAGGTTGCATTAGATTGGGGAGTTGGTATGATAGGAGCTTCTGTATGATTTATATTTCTTTCCTGTCAATTTACTGTCCCAATAATGATCGTTAAACTTACTTTTACTTGAAAATCCCTTAAGAATCTAGCAAAGCAAAGAACCAAAATCGAGCAGCTTTACTATTGTTGTGAAAAACATAGCTGAGAAAAATACTGCAGATGGAGATGTAATCAAGGAGCAAGGCGCGACATCATCAAACAGCCACTCAGCTGTGGAGGACTCTCAAAATAACCAACAAGATATAAGCAAGAGCAAGGAGGATGGCACCAAAACAGTACCATATTTACAAGTTTTTCTCCTTTGCTGAATCCTTGGATTACATGTTAATGGGGCCGATGTGATTAATTCCTTTGGAGAAACTAGGAATAATAAAGGCAACAATAGTTGTAAGTTGAATATGATGAGTAAGGTGTGTTTATAATTATTAAAATACTACGTTTGTTTCATAAATTTTTTTGGTCATTTTATATTAGGATAAATTAGTAATTCAATAAATAATTTGATAACTCAGGTTTCGTTTAACCGCACTCATTTAAAAATCACATAAGTCGAATCTACATTAATTTATAATTTTAGATCTCTGAAACTAGATGTATGATGAATGGATCTGATGAATCATGCGATGTGTAATTGTCACTTGCTGAGCGAAACGGCGTCGCTTGTGAAATATATTTGAAAGTTGCCTACTTATTGTCGGTCACAAGACAAAAACTAGAAAATCAATGACGAGTGAAGCGACGTCGTTGTCAGGGTTGGCTTGCAAATAATATCAACCTGGGAAAAATCCGCCAAAGCAGAGGTGGATTCTCATACGCCAGTTAACAATTAGCAGCCAGAAATATTATCGAAATTTAGAACCAAATGGAATCTCTCCATCTCCATATAATACTTGGTGGCCTCAGAGTCCCTCAAATATTCAATAACATCCCCAAAAATCCTTACTTGGATATCATTTCTTTCTGTCAAGACCCTGTTTGGTTGCCGGGAAAATTGAGGAGCAGAACAGATAAAGCAGAAAGCTTTCTTTCCCAGGTTTCATATTTCACTTCAATCAATCAATTTTCATTTTATATGTGCTTGTTTGTGATTAGAAAACTATTGGGTGTTGCTTAATTTTGATTTTGGTTTTTTGGGTTTTCTTAAAGGTTATTGCTTTGTCATGGTCCAAGTACTGCAATGATGCTGACGGTGTATGCTGTAGGAGCTATTACATGCTTAGACTCTAATATACAACTGCATGAGGCATTGCCCTGCAAGACTACCCATGTGAATTTCTTGAACAAAATTTCAATTTGTCTTAGCTCAACTGGAGCTCCTTGTAATTCTGTACTCTCTGCCTCCTGCTTTTCTTGGAGAAACCGTGTTCAGCTAAACAGCCCCAAGAAATGGCTTGTAAGTGTTTGTGCTAGTTTCTCTCTTTTCTCAAAGATTTTTTATTTTCTTTTGGGATTTATAGGAGTGTTTGATGTGTTTTACTATGACCCATTACAGTGCAGGATGCATGATTCGAGTTCATCAGATGATGAGTATCGATCCTCACGCAACATAGCAATCAGTTTGTTTAGGCGGTACAGGAATGTGGTTGACCGTGGAGGAGGTGCCAACCTAAAAGTACATTCAGTGTTTTTCATGGACTGCATATTTGTGAGGTTTGCTTTGTATACTTTCTTTTCCGATTACCGTGTTTGTTTTTGGTTGATCAGGAGTTCATCAGTGCTGGGGTGAATGCATATGCGCTGGGCTGCACAGATGAGGGGTTAAGGAAAGAACTTGTTGATATGAAAGAATCTGGTGTTGAAATTGAAGGAATGCAAAGCTATGGTGGAACCACCAGTTTGAAATCCAAGATTGCATCAGAGGAGGTAAGTCACTCCTTCCTCCTTGAACTTGAACCACTTGTTAAAACGGAACCTTGTTTCACAAGTTATCTGACTGTCTTAAGATTGTAAAAATTAATTTTGTAGCCATTCTCTTTAGAAACAAAGAGGTTCATCTGTTCATATTTGAGATCTATTTACTAGTCATTGTCTAGTGCCGGAAATTTGAGAAGTTGGCTATGCCTGTTAAGGCTTCTGTTGGTCATACATTCTACTGTGTGTGAGGTGACTAGTTAACTAAGTGGAATTCCATTCTTCCTTTTTGTTTTCACAATGCAGGTTGAGGAGTGCATTCTGTGGTTGAGCATTATATTCATCACCATCCTGTGTACACCACAGCCAACAATAGTTAGGTGGTCATCCACACCTCCAGTGTCAGATGAAGAAAGGCTTAAGTGGAAAGGTTTTTGTGCACTCATAGCAAATGCATATTATGTGAGAGGAATGGCATGGTAAGATGCTTTCAGCATATTCAATTCCTACTTTGAGTTATATATTGTTATTCGTATTAAACATGGATGTATTGATGTATCCAAACCCTTGCTTGAAATTCATGTAATTTCTTATGCAAGCTCACCAATGCATATGTTCCTCAAGAACTTCATGCTAAGACAGCAAATTATCAGCTTCCATTTGGCCTTTTCAATAAGACTATCAAGCATTTTTAACTACTGTTTTCTTGCAATATAAGTAGTTTCTGAAGGTTCACCTTTTTGTGTAAATTTTTTGTTGAAGGCTTCCGGTAAAGACGCTTCAACTAGAGCAAATGGCAGTGGTTGGATATGCTGAAGAACCTTCAGTTGTTGCAAGTCGAATGCGATTAGTTTTTAGCACACTTGAGGTTAGATAACTAGAGTACATTTTCCAAGTAACTAAATGAGAAGGATATGTGTTAATGAATTATTTGCATGTGCAGGTTGTGAGTCCACAGTGGCCTAGAGTATAGTGCTTCAATTTCAAGAACAGATGTCATGCTGGCCTTACTATGAAATTTTCAGTATGTAAATCAATGTAGCCTAAACATTCTTCTATTTAGAAAGGAAAGGGGGGGAAATACTTTAGCCTGATATTGGAAATTGTTTATAAATGTGAAGAATGTCACTGTTTGTTCAGGTTATTTATCACATGCTCTTCTAGGGTTAGAAAAATTAGTTTAGCTGCTATTCCATTGATGTTTTTCTTAAATAATCAATGCAAACATCTACTGAAGATTGGTCACAGCAACTTACAAAGCAAGTCATCTACATCATCATTTCTACCCCCTTCTCTCTCCTCTATGCTTGTATTGACTGCAATATCTATGGGTTGATTGACTTGCACCACAAGTTTCCACATTCATGCTGTATAAAACATAATTTACTGTAAAATAATGAGATCATCTTCCACTGAAAGAGCCATGTTCCCAAGTTCTGCAGCTCTGCAATTCTATATCTAACGGCAGCAGCATCATTAACATGACAATTCAAAACTCTCTCAGCACCTATAACATATATACTAGCCTGATTCTTATATCTACTCAAAAGTATCATCCACAGGGATGGATGAACTCCAAATTGCGTGCATCATTTTCCACATCAACCTACAAAAGGTAGACAACAAAAATAGATGAGAAAAGTTGAAAACCTTGGACCCTCTTCTTCAATATGTTTGCTTTGAGAGTTTAGCTTCATTGAAGACATAGTTGGGTCCCTTTTCCACTTGTTCCAAAAAGACAATTTTTGAAAAGAAAAATATTACCCAATTGACCTACAAAATTCATTTTAATAGTGATCACAACATCATGCTCTACCTTACTAAGCCCATCTCTTCTGTGGAGTTGCTGGAGTAGCATCCTTTCGTCCAGGGAGAGAACGCCTTTTAATTATCTTTCTCGAATCTGCACCAGCTGATAATTGCCTTGGCCTTGAAGAATGAATTGTACTGGATTTTTTTACAGGACTCATTGGCTGAGATTTTGGACTCGCTGGTTGAGATTTTGGACTCATTGGCTGAGAGTTTTTGCTTACTGAGTGTACTGGCCTTGGACTCATTGGCTGTGGTTTTTTGCTTACTGAGTGTACTGGCCTTGAATTCATAGTTATCTCTTTTAGAGGATTCAATGATTGATATTTTATGCGACTGGCAGTTGGTTTCACCATAGAAATTGAGGCTTTTTCCGGCACTAGTTTTTGGCTTGTTGAAACAGAGTCATGAACCTGAGAAACCTCTGGATATTTAGAACTAGGAGGAGCTTTTGTTCGATTCACAGGAGAGCAGTCTGAATCAGAGGATGAAGGGCTAGTAGTACTATCCATATCATAAAGGAGGTTGTCTGTCATGTGCGGAATTTGAATATCATGTGAGTTTGAGGAAGAGAAAGAGGGTCTCTGAAGCCTTGTAAGGTGTACTACCTGTATTTAGATATTTAGACAAAATTAATTCAAAAGGCAAAACACCTTTTCCCTAAATTCTGAAACCCCATGTCTCGCCCAGCAGCTCCTTACCTTTTGTTCTAGAACCACCATGTCCCTCTTTAGTCTTGTAATCGTTGAGTTCTTCCTACGTATTATGTCTTCCAACTCTGCAATCCTCTGTCATGGGTGATAAGGATAACCCAGATCAATCAAAGAAAAATTTGGCAAGGAAAGAAGGAAACGAGAACAAAACAGGGAGGTTACCCTAGAACCAGCATTTGCAGATGACTGGAGTAAAGTGGTTAGGTCCTGTATGGTCCCATCTTTCTCTTCACAATCCTTCTTGAGATTGTATATGTCTTGTTCAATGGCTAAGGTGTTTAGCTGTGGAAATTACAACAAATTACATCAAGCACATGAAAAGTGATACCTTAGAAAATAGAAATTGTTTGATAATTTAGGCAACATATAATTCCATTGGGTAGTGACAATTTTCAAATAGCAACAAAAGGAAAGTGAGTAAAAACTGCCATTGAAACATAGATCTAGCAGTTCAACTTTTGCTTGGGAAGAAAATCAGTTAAGTGCTTCGAAACTCTTTTTCTACTGAGAAATTTTTATGAGAAACAAGTGATTAAACGAGAAACTTATGGCATATTTGGTTACCTTTGTTGCAAAAACTATGCTTTGCTTAATTATAAGAATATTATAAACTTGTATCAGCATGGTTATATCTTTACATCAGTTCCTTGACAAAGGTCCAATGAATTTGAAATGATAATGTACATGGGAACCTTCCGTTACCTGGATATCTGCAGCAGAAGTGACACTTGATGCCAGGTCTGATAAATCAGACATACGGCGCTCCTCTTGCTCTTGTACAATTGGGAGAGACATTTTATATTGCAGTGTCTCATCCCCATTGGAGGCTTTCATAACATTGTTACCCTGATACCAAATTAAGAGATGAGCAAGATTCAAGATTTCAGCATTACCATCACAAACTGTGATTTCCTAGTTTACATTACAAAAGGACCTATTTAGCTGACATAGAACAAATTCTTACCCCCAACCCATTTTGAAGGTCACGATGTTGATCACAAAGCCAACAACCACAATCAACAAATTTGATTTTATGAGAACCAAATGATTCATTGCGTTGCAATTCTGCATTTTCGAGGGTGGAATGGTCCACGGTTGCTGAGTGGTCCTTAATGTTATTCATCTGCTCGCACAGGCTGTCAAGCTTCTGCTGCATGCTTGATAATAGCTGATCCTGGTAACAGAATACAAATAATCACTCATAGATTCAGGAAACAATGTTTCATCAATTGAAGTAGCTCAGCATTTAACAAAATATCCTAAGGTGATTCAATTGACTAGAAAGATTGATGTTTTACTCAAGGAATATCAAATCTGAAACAATACAACAAAAAACAAAAGCAGAATCAGTAAAAATAATCATACGTCAATTTAGAAGTAGACTGTAGGCCTCTATTAAATATAGAAATTTAAAATTAAACATGTTAAACAACCAAGCTTTTACAAGATCCAAAGGGAATTTAGACAAACACATAAAAAAATCTTGAATAAAATCAGAATGGAATTGATATTGGAAAAAAAAACACCCAATTATGAATAGAACCCCTAATAATTCTTCACACAATGATGACTCCATAACAAGAACCGTTAAGATAAGTATAAAGAATTACGCAAGAAATCATCTAAGTACCGACATTTATTACTGAGAAAATCTAAAGATTCATTTTTGAAACAAACCCAATTGAACAATTAAAGAGAAAATTCAATAAACCTAATTAATTAAAGCTCAATTATCACAAACCCTAAGTTCCACAGATTTCGTTAGCTGCGTAATGTGGCGGTTTTTCTTTGACTCCGCAGCGGCGACACTTATCACGGCAACAAAAAGGAACCTCTGGATGGGGCTAAACAACTCCCAAGCCACGGCTTGCTCGGGGTTCAAGCCACCTTTAATGGCTCGAGCCGAGCTGGCCTCGTCGGCATTGACGAGCCGACCATCGAGGGAGACCCATGCCAGCTTCCGACGAGCCGGCACGGGTCGACTAGTCTCATTGAAGCTGCTGGAGAGGCGGCGCGTAGAAGAGGGTGCCAGTATTGGGGTTAAGGAGACTCGAGCCGAGCCGAAGCAGAAGCCGAGGTCTTGATGGGCTACTTCCATGGCATGAGTGGCGGAGAGGAGAGAGAGAGAGAGAGAGAGAGTGATTGAAGCGACCAGGTTTTGAATGCCAAAGTCTGGTTTTGGTTTTTTTTTCGGTGATCTTTTTTTTGTTGGGTTGCGAAGTTTTTAATTCAAATGTTTTTAAAATCGAGAGGGAAACCGCAATAACCGTTTGGCCAACGTCCCTTAAGACCTTGGAATTTTTCTCTTTTCCTTTTTTTGAGTTGCGACTTTTCTGATTTCAATTTGTTTTTCTTGTTTCCAACAACAAAAAATTTGTTTTTCTTGTTTTAATGTCATTTTTCTTTATAAAAAAAACCAAAAATTTCTCTAAGTTACACAAAAATGGATTCGATATATATATACACACACAAATTAATGTTCTAACAGTTACGTTATACTTTTTAATTATTTACCTGATAATTGAATATTGATACTAATGTATACTTTAGAAACTTAAAAAAAGTAAAATTTATAGTGAAAATGCATTGTATTTGGGTGGGGGATAATGCAAATAGATTGTTAAAATGAAATTGTTTTCTAAATAAAACCGATGGCTAGACTCTGATAGTTCATGCTTTAACTTAGTAAGTTCGTAATGGTTTTGACCGTGGTGTACATATAAAAACATGCCTCAAGTGATGTGGAAGAGATGAGAAAGATTGCAAAATGAGTGACACTCGACTGTGGTGTAAGTATAAGAACATGTCCCAAGTGATACGAACCAAATGAGAAAAAGTTGCAAAATCAGTGACACTTGAATCAATTTTTGTAAAAGAGAGGAAAAATCTCATACAAATGGAGAATATTAAAGATTTCATGATATGAATCCCTCATATTTGGAATGGAACTTATGTGTGGATTTCCACTTTGCTTGTAACATTTCTATTTTCATTTTGTATTTATCGTTCATGAAAAAGAAAAATGAATGCTATGAAACAAGATTACAAATAAGGGGGTAAAACTTTCATTGTAAAAAAATGAATTTGTTTGGTAACATCTTTATTTTGTATTTGTGGTAAGAAAATTGAATGCTTTGAAACAAGATTACAAATAAGGTTGAAACGGAAATTTTTAATGGGAAAAAAATTTATTTTGATATAGATGATAGTCTAAACTTAAGGAAATTATGATTCATTATTATTGAAGATAAAGCTAATCTATACAATAAATAATGGGCATGTGTGAGGGACTACATGTACAAGTTGTTATAACCACATTAACTAATTACTTACAAGAGTAACTAATTACAAACTAATCTAATCAGCTAACTACTCTCTTTATAAACTAATTTATTTGAAACATATTCAAACTTCGGTCTAAAAGGGTAGGCCATAATCAATTGACCTAACTCGATTTAGAAAAAAAACAAAAATATGTAATTGTGAATAAAAATAAATTTAATTAGCTTTTTTTTTCTATTCAATGGGTGCAAAACTTCAAATAGCCAAACCATTGGGCTTTAATCATGTAACCTTTTGACTGGTAGAGCCCCAAATGCTCCAAATAGGCCAAGCCCAAACGATTTACTATACATTGGCAAAGCCTCAAGTCAACTAAGCTCAAGAGACTGTTCTCTTTTCCAAAACCAGAAAGTGAGATTCTTTGAAGATAAGAACTCAACCTGTGATGTAAAAATATGAAAGTAAATTCTATGCTCTGATTTCTGAATACTTGTGTTTCGATATGGATTTAAACTCTGGTTTTTCAAAGGTATTTAACATTCTACCTCGTAGAAGGAAATTAATCGTTTTGCTGTTTTATCAAACCAATTTAGAATGCCATTTTCAGTATTTTGACTGCTTGCTTAGAGAGGCTGTAGATTCATCATGCAGCTAGAAAGAAAAAGGTCCCCACTTCAAAAAAGGTAGGTACCTTCATGATTCTCTCTCTCTCTCTCTCTCTCTCTCATGGTGCCTCTGACTACCAAATGCCAAAAAATAGGAGAGAAAATAGGGGTATCCTGCATTCCACAAGGAATAAAACAACTAGAAAGCAATCTTTCTTTCATGTGTAAGGAAAGGCATTTTGGGAGGGGCATGACATCAGTTATGACATGGCAATCACTTACATGGATTTGGGCCAAATTCAGATAGTGACTCGTCCATTAATCTAGCTATAGCCACCTATCCACCCTTCAGCAATCCTTCTTCACCAAGGCATCTCATTTTATCAACTGTTTTTTCTTATCTCTTTGCTTCAAACTTAAAAGTTCCCACTTCATGCCTTATGAAAGCAAAGTTGGAAAAAAATAATAATAATAATAAAAGGAAAAGAAAAGCTTGAAAACCAACTAATGTTTGAGTCTTCTTTTGACACATTTCAGAACATTTCTGGTGTAAACTCCTAAGCCAGTACATCTTTACATGGAGATTTCAAGAAGGCCAAAACCAAAAAGGCAATGCCCTATTTTTCATTAGCAAACCAACCCCACAAAACCATAAAAACTTTTATATAAAGAAACTAGGAATGGTCCCTTTGCTGCATAGAACAAGGCAAGGTCAATAATTGGGGTGCCAATGTCATGTTTCGGGAGCTGCTACAACGAGGGGTATGGGTGAGGGGCTTAAGTGAGGGGTCCAATCCAATTATGTGTAAGTTGAAAATGTTGAAATTTAATGGTTGGATTGAACCTCTCACTTAAGTCCCCACACACGCCCCCGCATTGAAGCCCTTCCAGTCATGTTACTGCTATACAAATCTGCATTTCTTTTGAGGTTCATCTGGGCCTCCACAGGCATTGTTCCTGGAGGTGTATGAACCATTCAAGGTCTTATCAACAAACAAAATGAAAGATTTGCAAAATGATTACAAATGAGAAAAAGTTGGTAAGACAGAAATGGGGCAAATAGAGCCTACGATATTAAATCCAAATTGGGTAAAAAGAACAAATAGAATCCTGGACTGAATGGACTTTGATACCTAACAATATTAAAGCAAAGAAAAGGCTCTTTTATTTTATTTTTTATTTTTTGCGAACAGTATAAATTCATTGATATGAAGGCAGATACAAGATTACACAAGAAGAACACTGCCCTCGGAGGAGGGTTCTTGCAGACAAGAAAGTAGAAATAAAAACAATAAAAACAACCAGTGCAGGAACAATAAGCAAACTCCATATGTAATTAAACCCCAGTTCCCTCAGAGTTGAAGATGACAGGATCCATAAAAACTTGGGAACCAGTGCTTAACAGAGAACTTGGCAAAGAGAAGGCTCATTTATTAATCAGGTCAACTTTAATTTGCTTCACTCATTCTTCCCCAATTATGCCACAAAAAAAAGCATGTTTGCCCAACGGGGTCTGCATTTCCATTTACTTCGTGTAAGTGTGGGGTAGAGCTAAACCTCTCTCTCTGTCTCTGTCTCTGTCTCTGTCTCTCTCTTAAATTGCTTGAGCTCCACAGTTGAAATACATGTAATGTCACATCCAGTACAAAATACACTATACAGCTTGCATTCTATTAATGCATCAATGGGTTTGGATCTTACAGCAACTTTTTAGCACCCTTTTTTTTTCCTCCACCCACAAAATAAATAGCCTACAATCAATTTTTCAGCTAAAAGAGACCCAGCACAGCTTTCTATCTTCTTTTCCAACTTCTAATGGTCCTGTACATAATAAGCAAAGTCTCTCCTACACTTTTGTGTTATTACTGCTGCTTGCTTGAACAGGTACACTTAGCACGATTGTCTGAGAGTGTCTGGAAAAAATTAACAGAAAAAAGGATAGATTAATGAAAGAATAAATTACAAATGCAAGTACACATTTAAATAATCTTTGTGAATTTTCATTCATGATTTTATTTTTCTCAAAATACCTGGACTTGGGTTTGAAGGTCTTTGATGTACTCAACAGCCAAATCTAACATGTCTGCAGTGTTTGTTTGCTGCATAGTAAAGACATGAGATACTTGAGTCTGATGTCCTCACCAACCATTCATAAGTAGAATAGCAAGTGAAAATTTTACCTTGTCCATGTTGGGTACAAGCTCTTGTAGTTTCCTCATCCGTTCACTGATTCGAGTTCTTCTTACCTGACAGGACAAAAATAATCATCTTAAGCATTTTAATTATCATACATGTGCCTATCAAGCTTTTCATTAAACACTCTTAAAGCAATAAGAAGAGTGTACAATGTGAGATATTGAGGGTGCTAAAATATTACCCTCTCAGCAATGCTTCTTGGGTGTGTAGCACAACCCCGCTTTGCTCGAATCTTACAAGGCACAGAATCTTGGAACTGCATAAACTTTTCAATGGCCGCCATCTCTGCTGATGTTTTTGGCAAGCTCAAATGATGAGCCAGAAGTGTAGGAGGGCGATTTCCAGCCTCCACATCCTGCATGACAACAACAAATTATATCAGACATCAAATTATACACAACCAAGCAAATTTGAAAGTTAATATGGTACCTGAGTTTCTGATGAGCTTAAACCAGTAAATGCTTTGATATCATCTTCCCTAAAGCTTGTTGAGCGAGTAATATCATCAGACATCATTGCAGAGTCATCCCACGAATCAATTGGGAAACCAGTGACATAATTGTTTCCCGAGCCATCACCAAAACCTCTAGAATCTTGATTATCTGATCGCATTCTTTTGTTCCCAATTTCAGCAATTGGACTCATTAGCCCTGATGTAGATGGTGGCCCTGAAGAGAAATTTTTCAACCTGCTTGTAGAAGAAAAAGATGCTTCTTCATTAGTGCTATTACTGGCTCCGTAGTTTCCCATGCCTCTCAATGCAGCATAGCCTGCCACTGCCAAATGCTAAGCATCAGCATCATTCTCAAATTGATACCATCTTTTCTTCTTTTAATAAACTAGGACTAAAAACAAACAAAGCCAAGAACCAATATGTTTATTGATTCTTTCCAAAAAATTTGCATAGATTAAAGTTCTTAAGCTTATACAAAGTTCATTACTTCGCTATACAAAATTAATTAATTCAAATTACAGAAAGCCAATTTTATTCTGCATATGGTGAAAACATTAAGCATGCTAAAACGGAAAGGAAAGAAATCTGCCTCAAAATAATTGCAGTCACCTGAGTTAGTACTTTTTCCATCTGAGATTCATCTATACTACAAAGGACCAAATAGACAACAAGGAAATCTGCAATAGAAGACTAAAATAGAACATACCATCAATATTCATATGGGAGAAAAGTCCAGCAGGCGAGCTACTATGCCGAATAAGATTCGAATTAGTGACACCACCAGTTTTCACTGAAGGCAACTGACTTGTCCCCATTGAATAAGCTCCTTCATTAGCTGAATTCAAACTCTGATTTGGCAAAGGTGGTTTTGAAGATGGACTTTGGTAAAAGCCCTGAGAAACAGAAGAATAGTTGTTCAAATGGGTCTGCTGCTGTTGAATCACTCCTGCTTCATTATCCACCTTAGGCACCATAAACTGTGTTTGCTGGTTATTGGTCTGTGTTGTCACTTTGTGATGTGATGCAGTTTCTTCTGTTCCTCCTCCTCCCCCACCACCATTACCACCACCTTCACCAGTCAAAAACCGGGCGAAAATTCGTTCAGTTTCAGGGCTAGAAGGCCGATTGAACAATGGTTCACAAAAATCTGAGTCCAAAATATTTGCGAAATATGAGCTAGGAGCTGATCGGTACCGCATCAAGCTAGAGTTCATATGCTGCTGGGGTTTATGATGATGCTGTTGAAGATCTGATTCCATTGCTTCCTTATTCTTCAATTCTCATCCAAAGACCGGAACTTTGAAGAAAGTAATAAACAACCCTCTTTTCTATTTACCTTTTGGGTTCTTCTTTTCACTCTACTCTGACCAGATCAAATCAAAGCCTCTACAAAAGGAGGATTGGAACAAAAGCTTGAGACTCTGTCTTTTCCCCTGCCAGAATTCCCAGAACAAAAAAGAACCCAACTTTAGTGACTAAGCAATCAAAGATTCAACCCAAGTATTTTAGCTCCAAAGCCGAATCCATGTAAACTTTACTTGGATGAAAATTTATTCTGATATAAACGCAGCTGCTGAAACAGAGGAAACTGAGGAAAACAGACACTATAAAGTACCATTCACTCCAAATTTTCCTCACAAATCCCCACAACTTTCCAATCTACTAACTACCCAATTTTCTATTATGCAATATCAATCACCCAAGTGAAGAAGATAACATAGAAATCAAAACAGCCCACTGAAATCGAAAACAATAAAAGATGATAAAGAAAACGGCAAGAACAGAACCATAACAAAAACAAACCTTTATACTCTCTCTCTCTCTTCTAATACTTTCTAGCAAATCTATATCTTTCTCTCTCTAGAGATTTGCTTCTGTTCTCTACAGGTGCTGCTGTTGCTGGGTAGTATGGGGTAGTGCGAGTGGTGATGTTCTCGTTGATGCCAGTCAGTGAAGAGAGATAATAAAGTGAAAACAATAATAAAAACCATTTTCTAAACCAAAATAATAAAAACCATTTTATTTTCCTCTTCTATTAGTTCAGCCAATCAGAAGTAACAGAGTCCAGAAGTCACTCTCTCTCTCTCTCTCCCTCTCTGTGGAAGTAACAGAGTCCAGAAGTCACTCTCTCTCTCTCTCTCTCTCTCTCTCTCTCTGTGACTTTGGCATGTTTATATTTTTCTGTAACCATTAATGCCCTTGAAGACTAGTCACTTTTACAGAAGAACCCCAATACTGAAAGAGAGAAATGGCTGCATTGCATACGTATCGATTGCAGCAGAACCACGTCCTAATATTATTAAAGCAGGAGAAATGGCCGGATTGTGTACACGTTAGCCAACACAGAACTGGGGCTGGGGTTTATGTGACAAAAAAGAACATAATCTAATCCCATTTTTAGCGGTAAAAGCTATTTTGGTGCGGAGGGGTGACCACCACAAGGTCATGGCTTTGGACCACTATTACTGTGGGTGCTGTTTTAGACAGAGACAGCTTAGTTTTGGGCAAAGGAAACTTGGTTTTTTTTTTCCTTTCTTTCTTTCCGTTTTTATGAAACTCAGTGTCGTGGGTCATGCTTCATGCCGACATCCTATGGTAAAGCAAAATTACAGTGAATATATACGGCTAACTCTTAATCTAATGGTAATATAAATGGCATTTTTAGTGTGAATAAAAATGTGATTTTGGTTTAGGGTTTAGTTGGTATTACGCTATGACTCTCTTCTGGTTGCCCAAGAGGATGTGGAGCGATGATTTTGCTTCTTAATTTGTTTTAGTGTAATAATTCTCATAAACTCTTTAGGAGTTTGATGTGTTTGTTTTTATTAAAGATATTTTATTTCCTTTTCACTTTTGATTTTTAATACAAATTTGTCGTTTTTATCGTTGCACGACGAACTTTATTGCAAGTTTGAGACTTGCAGGTAAGTCTTAAGATAAATTTGAACACCTACAATCATCTATAAATCACACGTAAAGTCAAACTCCCAATTTGATTGCCTGAATGATAAGAGTAAATTCCTACAATTCGTTCATTCTCTCTCATCTGTACAAAGTCGTGAAAGCAATTCTGGAATTTAATCGAAAGCAAGATGTGAATAATATTTAATTACGTCCTCCACATTCACAGAAAAACATAAAATTTAATAAACAATCCTCCATCTCTCGGGGAGAAACTGAACAAATAAATAATTCATGACGTGCTGCTGCAGCCTGCAGATGCCGTGCCTGTGGGAATTATATTTTAGGTTATCAAAACAAAGGATTACTTTCTTTAATTTTGTGCTTAAAGAAAGAGTCTCTCGTATACATACATATAGAAAGATACTGGCCCCAACCCAAACCCTTCTACTAAAAGACAAAAATATCACGTTTAATTCAAGATTAATATGTATTATTAAGTTTGAATTTGTCTTATTTAAGCCAATTATTAAGGTTTAGCAGAGATCCGCCTGGCCATTGCTTTTCTTTCTTCCTTTCATCTAATTTTTGTGGGGTTGTTGTTGTTGTAATTGGGTTTCATGAATAATTTGTCTCATCCAATTTTCTAATGCAAACTACTTTTGGGTTCACTCTAGATAATTAATTAGGGATCTTGCGAGTGATTCTGGATAAGCCAGTAATCACTTTTATAAAGAATTACTTCTCCATATAATCACTTAGTTTGAGAATGATTTTGGATAGTTCAAAAAGTACTTTTACGGAGAATCACTTCTCCGTATAATTACTTGAAGTGATTTTATGACAAAACACATCGCATGTGCTTATTCCTAAAATCGCTTAAAGTGATTATATTGAGAAGCACACTGCACATGGGAGATGCTTCTCTCCATAAGTTATTCTAACTCTCCAAAATTACTCCAAAACAAGCCCTTATGACTCGTTTGGAAGTGATTTTGGATAGGCCAAAAATCACTTTTATGGAGAATCATTTTAAGTGATTTTATAGAGAAGTACATGGAGGTGCTTCTCCTCAAAATCACTTAAAATGATTATTTGGAGAAGCACCGTATCCAGAATCACTTAATGTATGGGAATTCAAAAGTGGTTTTCACGAAATGTGTTGTAGTGGTTGAAAAAGTCACATGATTAGCTAGTTAAAACTTGTTGAGATCTTATTGCTTAAAGGAAAAGTAAGTGGGTAATTAAAATTGATTAAGCTCTAATGATCACCGGCATGGATTCAACCGAGGTGATTTAGTCCTTATATTAATGTTTGGTTTATTTTTGTTTCAAAAGATAATTGAGCACTTTCACTTACAGTGCTTATGCACGTGTAATTGTATTAGATTACGGCTTGATTTGACCGTGAAAAAGGTGATGCCAGCTTATCGGTTCTTAATTTTAGTGTACTTTGAAACCTATTAGAATCTCCGGAGCCCTAATTAACTTTGCTTAAGATCTTAATTTGATTAAATAAATCACAAAGTGACAAAGAGGGTTGAGTGGATAGTAAGGAGTGGTGCATTAGATTATTAGATAATGTTGTATAATTCAAAAGAAAATTGTCTAAATGATGTAAACATTTCCACAACGTGTCATGCCAGAGAACGGCATGTGATTGATGTAGGACCCACCATAAGAAATTAAGAATAGGAGTTTGCACTCTCAAAATGTGTTCTAATAATTTCATTTTCTTACTTTTTCTTATTTGGATTCGGTCACTTACTTACTATCTATTCGATCGAAAAAAAAAAAAAAAAAAAAAAAAAAAAAAAAAACAAAATAACTACTCAGTTATTTAGAAAATTTAAAGTAATTATAATGTGGTATTAGAGTACAGATATGGATTTATATAGGAAATTACATATCAAGCCAGTATAATTTTTGAAACCTAAATGAATATGAAAATTGAGCGATCAAATTTAATCTTTTTTCATCTCATACTGTTACTTGAAGTAGACCCAAGAAAAGGCAAAAAGAAAACTTATTTAGGCTTGAGAGAAATTCCTCAGTCATAGTCCCCACGCACTTGTTTTCAACGGCTCATTTATAAAAATGGAAATGCGATGGCGTCCACACATTTGTCAAATGTGGCATTTATAAATTGGAAGGCAAGTTAACTGTGTCCACACATTTGTAAAAGAAGACACTTATAAAGACTTTGATAGATAGTTGATCCATTTCAAACTGTCCCTCTTTTGATTTCGATTGAAATTAATGTGTACAGTAAATTAGGTTTTTTTTTCCGTTGATAAAAGTCGAAAGGCTCGATTTCAATAGAAAATTAGGGTTTAGTTATGGGAAATAGTTGAGAGAAAGAGGAAGGAAAAACATTGAAATGATTTTTCATTAACTTAATGATTTTGACTTGTGTAGGGATTAAAAAGCCTATAAAGTTTAGATAGCTAATGATATGCTGGCACCATTTGGTCAGCAGAATCTTGTTGAGTAGTATACATCACGAGCTCCATGATTCTGGGGAAGAGGTAGCTGGAAATTAGGTGGGCAAAGAAAAAAAAACCTATTTGGTAGCGAAACTGAATCAATTTTTGTCACCTAACGCATGAGGGCATTCAGTTTGTTAATACTAAAAGCAGAAAGATTTATAATTTGCAGAGGGAAAACTTTGTTCAACGTGAAGTTGTATTGTTTTAGAGTGTTGTTTCTGTTAGTCATCAACGAATGCATTATGCATGGATGATTTTTAGTCGTAACATACGTAAACACGAAAACCTTAGTACATACCTACGTAACCTCGAGAGGCTACTTATACGTATGCTTAGAGGGTGAGGATGAGAAAAAGAGAATAAATTGTACTGGTACGGATGGAATTGGATTTGGATGATTGAAAGGTTAAGATTTTTGAGCTGATCACAATGAATGGTGTGGGTGATGTGGAGAGCAGAATCGAACACAGTCAAATCTCATCTAGTGGAGCCATTCGTGAATTCTTATCATCGTAAGAGTATTGGATTTTGGAATCTAAATGCAAGGAATAGATTCTCTCCCAAAACATGAGCGAACCAACAAACCACATATACTTTCTTCTCTTGGATTGGTTGTTCCAATTTATTTCAAGATACACACAAATATAGCATTATAACTTTTTTATTTCTTCTTAGTAATTTATAATCCTCCCTTTTGGAGCAAAAGGAGGAAGGGGCTATGGCTTTTTCTTTGTTTTGAATATGGGTATGGATATATAGATTTGGGGAATCAAAAGGCCCTTTCCTATCTATCTACATTCATGGGCATCCTCTGAGCTATTGGGCTTCTTCCATTCATAGCCCTACTCTTGGCCTTTGATGTTCAACAT